GCTGACACAGCGATATCTCATGTGATTTTTGTGGCCAAGAAATGCAGCTGTAAGACTCTCGCCCGGCACCGTATTCTTTTGCCAGCGTCCCAATCAGCGCACTACTGTACGGTACTGAGCGAGAGTTTAGAGGAGCAAATTCCTGGCACGAACAAATTGTATGAGCTGGGTTTCGGCAGTAGCTTAGTCAGACTTTTCGATCAGCATTTCCATAAGAATTGAGATACCCACTTATTCTCAAAACTGCCACGAATGTACTCCAAATGAAGTTTCCCATATAATTTTGCCCACCTCTCTTGTCAAAAAGTTATTTTCGTTTCCTTGAAGACCGGCATATGTGAATTGTTGACAGCTCGATGTTTGCTGGTTGTAGTACCATCGTTGCAGGTATGCATTGCCAGTTCCACGACTCATCGGCAACGAGCATGGATCTCCCTCTTGAAGCAAAAGAAAAATTGAAATACTACTTCAAAAAATAGGAAGTGGTATACCGCTAGGACAGCACACGGTCGTATCCGGAGTAGCTCCAATGTGACAGTAAGAGCTGGGACCACAAACGCTTGGATTGGTCACTGAGCACATCGTGGGTGGAAGTGGGATCGGCTGGTTGCAAGGATTTACGAACACTGGAATGAAAGGTGAGTAGCTGAGTTTTACTGGCTTGTTTTTGAAGAGCCCGAAAAGTTGGAGGTTGAAAGAATAGTCGAGCAAGAAGGTTTCGAGAAGTTTATAGAATAAAAGCTAGGCGTTACTTCGGAAACCATAAAGAGGGAAACAGTAGTAGATATAGGCATTAGATCCCGCTGAAGCAGTTCAGAAGCTGAAACCCCGTAGAAGTAGACAGTGTCACTTCATGCCAATTCACCCTCGCAAGTTCGTTCACAGTCTTCCAACGTCAAGAAGTTGTTCTGATTTCCCTTGCGACCATTGTAGATGAACTCTTTGCATGTCATTTCCTCCTGGTCGTAATAGTAGCGAGTGGCCGGAGGAGCAGGAGCGCCGAGCTCTCCTGGCTCTTCGGGTAGACCCTGGCAAGCGCCAGGCACTGTTGGCTCGCCTGGGCAACACTGGTACTCATCTGGGACAAGTCCCAAATGGCACCAGTAGCCATCACCACAAGTGTCAGATCCGAAAGTGCACGGTACAGGGCGATTTGTGCTTGGATCGATCTTTGGACTGCCCTCCGGGCATACATTGATGTACACTAAAGAACAATCACATATAG